TAGACAGACAGGATCCGCAAGCCAGTGAGGCCCATGCAAGTGAACCCCCGGCTTCGAAGCTTCGTCAACAAACTTCAAGGGGGAGGTGTTAGGCGGGAATCCACGCGGGTCCCACTATACCGTACGTCTTTGGGCGCTGCTACGGCCGAGAAGCCTGATCCGCTCGAGGTTGGCCCAAAATTCGGGACGCTTGCCGGTCCGGCATCAAGACGAGCTCCGATTGGTCAACAATCTAGACCCAACAGCCAATCATGACCCAGTATTGGCCAGATGCCGGTTGCCAATGGCGCTTCAGAACGCGTCAGAACTTCCAGAAAGTTATAGCCGCTTACGCTATATATACGAAGCGCTGTACAACTGTTGCTGATTTTGTTTTGGGCGTTAATAGACCTTGTGCACCTTTGGTGGTTGTTTTGACGTGAACGCTAGCTTGGGAGGCTCAGACCGAGAACTAAGCTGAGGAAAGCACCGTTTCTACAGTATGACTAGGAATAATCAGAATAATTATGATATAGGAGTCTCCAGCTTGTTGCCTAGCGCATGAACTAGTGCGCTGGGACGACGGTTGTGTCATTGCACCCGACCGGGCGACTGCCAAATTTAAAAGCTGGGACTCTTTAGTTTAGTCCTAAGTTATTGCTTGCCACGTGTTCCACGAAAATAATCTGCTGTTTCTCTCGGCGAAGACTGTTGTGCCATTCATACTTTCCACGAAGCCAAGTATTGGAATGGAATGTAAATCCTCGTGCCAGACACTGACCATACTTTACTGGCCTGCGGTTCAGATTTTACCCTTGTCCCCGTCTAGTTTCATTTAGTATTTCGGTTAATTTAGTAAAAATGGCGGCGCTTTGATCTTACAGCCAACACAGCTGTTCTAATTTCAAATTTCGCTTTTAGTGTCTCAGCTGCTTGTGGCTACTGGTCTACAAACAACCAGTTGTGAAACTATCACCTAACGACATTCGGGGACTTTCCCGCATCTGCGATCTTAATTTGATGGATCACGAGCAGTCTTTTGTGTTGCTGTTGTGGCGTTTACCACATGGCAGACAGTTCCATGCCCACAGGACTTTTCGTTACCATAGGTGTTCTGCATTAACTACTCAACGCAAGGTTCGAGTTGGTTCACTCAAGGTAACTCTGTAAAAACGATCTTCTATGATAGCAGGGCCCTTTTGAACTCCCTCGGGTTATAACGCGTTTTTTATCTAAGGAAAGTTGCACATCTGATTTGAACTGGTGTTTGTTCGCAAATTTCGCATTTGAATTGTACTGTGAAACCCCCATGGGTTCCCCTGTTTCGCAAACACCTTTGTGAATTGATAGGTCTTATGTGACAGGCACTACATAGTGACGTCTGCTAGTAAAGGCCTCACACTGTGCAACCTCAACAAGTTCTGTGAACCTTTATTTTGAAGGATTAGAACACAGTAACGCTGAGCCTCCTTAATCGTCTGTGTCTAGAAATAATCACCTTAAAAGCATTCTCTAGGGAATACGAACTCATAAGTTAATAACCAGATGATTTCCGTTCAGCTGTAACTATTCGAACCATCACTGAATTATACAAGAGAGAATGGGGCCTCGCAAGAATTTGGAAAAAGCTGTAAAATCCCATTCCCAGGAGAGACGACAATGGTGTTGTGTCTGATTCCGGGAAGGCTAGCCCAACATTCTTCTAACTGAAGGTAATAAAACGGATTCAGGAGACACATAGAAAGGGACAAAGTCTCTTTCAGCAAGCCGTATTGACTTCCTACAAAATACTCGTCCAACGTACTGCGCCCTTCAGACAAAACGGCAGAGCGTCTGGACACTGAAATAAGAGATGAATTCTGCTATTTGGACTTCAGAAAAGCCTTCGACTCAGTAAACCATTGATTCCTTTTACCAAAAATCACACAGTTCCAGGTTTTTTACACTTTAGGTATCGGTAAGGACTTTAGTATTGGAGAAACCGTTTCTGTCACAGTAGAACGGCTTAAGTGTGGACCACAGCACATATGTAGTGGTGATACCCATGTATCCGATCCTGCTTCCGTTCTGTTTCAAACCTTCATAAACAACCAATTGCGACACTTCAACTGTTCAGGTTTTGGAGACGAAGTAACGATACTGGGAATTCCATAAAAAGAAAAGACCACAAACAATTTTCGCTATGCTTGTTGGCATCAGAAAAACGAAAACCATCTCTTGGAAACTACAATGTTCTGGAGGCTAATGCTTCTTAGATATAAATGCCTATGCTTAGTGCCTTCTTCTGCGTTTTTCTGCTTTCTGGAATCTAGCTTGGTTTTGGTGGTCGCCCGCTACATCTGTACTACAGCCATCCATAAGGCCAAAGAGCGTACAAATGTCACAAATGTTCTTCGTGTAACCGGTCGACGATGAAAACCATCCGGCAACCCATTCCCCAAAAAGGAACACCCTTGAAGCTGAGACAAAAACCTGTTGGGTCGTGACAATAAATAGGAACTTTTAAAGTTGAAATGCGTATGGAAAACTACTGATAGATACCAATTTAAGCAAACTTTTGTAAAAGACTGGCAGTCAATTAAACTTTTTGGTTTGAGCACATGCGAGACGAAATGCTACAACTTAATGCAGAAGTTTTCCATTTACACAATACGGTGTTAGAGAAAATCGCACATGTTAGGTGATAATCGGCAACTGCCCCCATCTATTAAACGAAAACCTGTCAAACGAAGAGACCAGTTTAGACCTCGGAACCTCAACTGCTTGACCTCGACAAATATTCTCGTTTGCACGGGAAATTGGTTCTGAAATGATACCCAATCCAGCTGAATCTTTTTTTATGATGGTCCGCGAAACAGCGGAATTCATTGGAATTTTCTATAAAAACCAAATTCGTGTGCAAATGAGAGATTTATCGACTGCCCCCATCTATTAAACGAAAACCTGTCAAACGAAGAGACCAGTTTAGACCTCGGAACCTCAACTGCTTGACCTCGACAAATATTCTCGTTTGCACGGGAAATTGGTTCTGAAATGATACCCAATCCAGCTGAATCTTTTTTTATGATGGTCCGCGAAACAGCGGAATTCATTGGAATTTTCTATAAAAACCAAATTCGTGTGCAAATGAGAGTATTTATCGACATCTGTCTAATCTGCGTTCAACCAGAACATGGGGCATACGGGTACTCGAGGACTGCGCCCAACTGATGAGTTCCATGTAGTGGAACTGGTCGTCAGCAGCTCAAGAGTCTTCAGCAACCTTATGAGTAGGGTGCTAACTCCAGACAACAACCGGAAGAATTCTGTAAAAATATCCTGCGAATTTTTTGGTTTCTTTGATAGGGTCCCTGCCGTCCATCACCACAAATAAGAGTCTTTTATAGCCCGCAAGTATAACTGTTTCAGAATACTTGGTGTAGAAGCAGGTATCCTTCATAAGTCTCACAGCCCCTCATTCACCCGGATGTGTGCGAAATGTTCACATCTCCATTGTTTCTTTGATTAACGGCTCCCGAAGCACAGGTAGGCAGGTGACAGCCAGGCCTTATATTAGACCGAGTACTTTTCATCCTTACACACAGAATGTTTCATCTAACCCACACGCATAGTGTTGCACATTTACATGGGCGAAACAATTCCTCATTTGAAAAAATGCGTCCAGTTGCAAACTACATTTGTTCAAAGGGAGTTTCAAGTAAATCCCTCGTTTATCATATCCTTCAACTGAGCGATTCAGTTGAGTCTCCCGTAGAAACCTAATTGATTTGCAAATGATGGTATATATCGACATGCATACGTGTTGTTTGTCTTCATGGATGGGGCCCATGTAACCCTCACTTACATGGCTCGGGACAGTGAATGATATGGCGACTAGTCAATGACAGTAGCGTTCATGCTGTCAATTTCTATCCATTTTGATTTGGTCAACTTTTGGTAATGAATGCCTTGTCCGAGAACCACGTTTCAATGAACTCACGTCCCTACTTATTCGTACTTGGGTTAGTACGTGGGCGCTGTTCCAGTCGAATCCATGCCCAATCCAGTCTTCGTGGAAGGAGCCGAGTGAGAATTGTTTTTGGCCTAACAGGAAGCTTTTTTGTGTCCATCCCACAGTGTTTATCACAATGTTTGAAATAGATCTTGTATACTATGTTTGCCTTTGTCTCTGTGTCCACTACTCATTAGGTTCTGACAGTGTTCTCTGCATTGCTTTCGCCAGTTTGTAGGCCACCGTCGTATCACGCTGTCATGAGAGCCCTGCAGTTATTTCCGAGTGCTTTTGATGCTGGGAAGAGTTATCTGTTTGTTTCCTATATGTACTTTTGAAGTAGTGGTTCAACTAAGATTTCTCAAAACGAAAACCTCCGGGTATCCATTTCATTATCATCGGCAGCATGACATCAGTATTCAACATTGATGCTTTGCTATCGTACAACCATGATTTATTTGAAAGCCTTATTGTGAAGAAAAGAATAAAGGTGGACGCGGAAAGGACTCTGTGCTAGCCACCTCCCTGCTTCTGTGGCTTTGAACCGGGCACAGAAGATAGCAATCCGTTAGTAAACGATCTTTCGACATACGTGATACATGACCTAAAAAACGCGGCTTCTAGTACTAGGCACATTCTTTGTTGGAAGTCCCAGTTGCGCAATAGATCACTCGCTTTCTGATTGGCTCGTTATGTATTCCCCGACACCAAATCACACGATATGTAATTCTGACACAACGGCTGTCGGAGACCTCAAGATGTCTCAGTTCTACTGCTCGCGGATAGCACTTCTCACAGCCATACAACAAAACAGCTCGCACTGTATCCTGATACACACGTTCTTTGACACAATAGGTGTCTCAAATTAGCAAACGGGACCCGGGCCTCCGGTATTTGTGCAACAACTAATTATAACACAGCCGACGATAAGGCAATCCATTAGCTCATTTTATCATGTACCCATTCCGACCTCTTAACGCACTTTCCCACGGATGTAGCTAATCACACAGGCGGTTCCGGATGATGCATTAGCCAAGATCATTGATCACAGAAAGCAAACTTTATTAGCTACCCTCGATCTTATCAACAGGTTCACCGCTATCTTCAGTCGCTTGGAACTAGAGAAGTAGCACTGATTACCACACAGCAATTTGGCAAGCTTCGCCCTGCAAAATGTTTTCAGAATACGTTCTAGTAGTTCAGAATAGAAGGTCGCCTCATTGAAATGGGATACAGGTATAAACATTACGCAGTGTTTTCCCTAATAGTGTTTACGTTCGATTAACCATCCACAAAACAGGCCACACCATACTACATGCGATATCGCAGAATTTTGTAATGTGACCATTTCCATTCAGATGTGATATGCAGTTCTGCATATTCGCAGTCAGCAGTTGGCTCAGGCTCTTGATGTGCTTAATCCATAACGTTCCATTCTTTTGGAACGGTTATCTGGTTGGGCAAAGCTCGGAAACGGCCGAGATGTAATCACGTCAGAAGAGATCACTGGTTTCGTTTCCAAGAAATCAGTGCTTTGTGAGGTTAAATTAGTAGGGACTCGGTGCTTTTCCTTTCAGTTAGCAAAACAAGGCATTTGTGAATGCCGGGTTCAGAGAGCTCCAGTTAACACTTGCTAGTTGTCGCTTAAGAACACTGTAAGTCTGTATGTTACGACAAAGTGGTGCAGATTACAAAGGGATTAGCGAATCCCGGTTAAGCAAGAGTTTGTACTGTAGATCAAAACCAATCCTTTTGATTCGTAACTACACACTGCCACAAATTAACCAGTGTAAGGTTGTCTGCAAGTTCTACCTTGTCCATCTTGTTCAAACTGGGACTCTGGGTGGCTTCCTTTTGAAAAAAAAACCTACAAATCGTTTCTCCGTTTTCACAATAACGCCTTGTCGGTGCGGATCTAGATACTCATATGAGTTTCTTGAAGGTCTGTTTATTAGTGACTCATGCCCATAGGTTCTGGCATAAAGTTCTAGGCTTATCCGTTCTGTGACGACTTAGGCAAAATCGGTGCACCCGATTTTACACAGTTCATAGTTCAGTGTACGGTGGGGCAATTTTTTCGTTTGCAACAAGTACAAGGTTTTCTCCTTTCTGGAGCGCAAAAATTGACTCAGCCCTCCCTGGCCTATTCCGAATAACGAGTGAATCATCGACGTCCCATGTGAGTCTCCTGACAAAACCACTTTTGTCGAACACTTATCCCAAATTATCCAATGATGAGTCAGATCAAAAATGTCCATGATCTTGCAAGTTGGCGTTTGGCTAGGAATCCGTTATGTCGCGGTTGTGCTAGTGCTCGGTCAACTCTGGAGCACAGAACCGCCTATTTTCCGGCCAAAATTGACAAACACATGAAGGTTGCTAGAGGCTGGTCTCGAAGGACGCAAGTGTTTGTTGGTCTCTGGTAAACACCGGTTCTTGGCTTCTTACTGATCTCACGTTGCCCCAAATGTGTGCGTGTCGAACTTGATGTAAGGATGCAAATTATTGGATCACTAAAACTGCACCATTCAACAACGACAAGCGTACCAGCTTCACAGCTCAGAAATGGTTTTGGTAGCCGTCGACCCAGGATTAGAACTTTCTATTCGAAATCGGGCATAAGATTATTAACCGAATCGGAGTAAATCAGCCTTACTGGGGTAGAAGTACGGAGTGTATGGGGTGCATACATTTTCTAGTGCCTTCAACTGTCTTATTTCTATTAAGCTCTGCCCGTTATTGCGATGTCCAGTGCTGATAACTACTTGGCTATTTTTAAATAATGGGTTGATTTCGGATCTCACGTGAATGTCATAGGATTCCAGCGCGGAGAATCCATGAATAGTGTGGCGAACTCGATCAATCCAGATTCGCTTGACGAGTCTTACATCGAATGCGAAGAGTGGCCCAACGATAAAGTCCCCGCAACTTTTAAGATCTTTCTCGAACGTCGACCCACATACCTTTGTTGTGAAATGTGCAGTAACTGGAAGAATTACAAAATGCTTTACGAATAAATGCTGAAGCCCATGTTTCATTCGTTTATACTCATGTCTACCTAAATGGGATACATCTATCCAGGAAACCAACAATCATTTGGGAACAAAAAAACACCAAGTAGGAGAAATTTGACTGTGGGGAGGAAAAACAATCTTCGAAAACCTGCGAAAGTAGAGGCGGCATCTACGGACCGACCAGATACACAGAAGAAGTGAAAATTGATGGACAACTGCAACGGAGAAACTAGGATTAGGAACAAATAACCCAAATAAGCAACAAAAAATATAAGGTACTAAAAGGGTTGAAGATAACAGGCGAGGGAGGGCAGGGAACAAATTTGTGTGCTACGAACTGCTGTCTATTGGAGGATCAATGTTTGACGAAGTTGTAGTGTTATTTTTCTATGGGAATGGTGAAGCGAAGTCATGAAGAAGGTGAATAAGGCTCGAGAAATTATATAACAGGAGAATTGGTAGAAATGGACAGCAAATTGGGCACTTTGATTGATAGAACGTGAGGGAATGAGCGATGGTTGTACAAAATGACGTATTTCACCGTCGTGCTTTCTAGTACTGCGGATATCTGATGTGACGGCAAATTTCACACGGCGCGTGAAATCGAACAGGAGACACTCCTATTGTCATCGGCGCCAAAATCCGAAAAGGGCCGTGCGAAACGGACGATAATAGCGAGCATCGAAATCCAAAATCCATGGATGCTCGCGAAAGGCTACCATAAGTGGGGAATGTACTTCAGTTTCCAAAATCAAAGCTAAACCCACCAGGGACAAACCGGTAAGTATTCCGGCAGATGTTAACATAATGCTCCAGGCAGAAGCCGGAACCGATTCTCCGCCTTCTTCTTCATGTTCTTGTGAAGCCATCGAAGCTGCGCTATGATATATCGAGCTAGAAGTCCCCGACCGGTTTTGATGTTGGCTCGAACTGGCGTCAACAGGTTTGGAGGCGGAGGGTACTTTGGATGGCGTTGAGAAAAACCGTGAAAAGAAACTGCCGGGGCTTGAGTTTTGGACAGGATTCTGCGAAAACAACATAAGCAACATGTTAGTGTGTAGTTATTTTGTAGTCTGATGCGCCAGTTGCAGTGATTCATCCATACGCTTTGCGAAAGTTCCCATTAGTTGGTTTTCAGTGGTTCGGTATGAGGAAATACAGGATTAAACGGAAGTGAATGTGGCTTCGTGTAGAACAAACCGTGAGGTTTTCTGAGGAAAAGCCGTCGCGGAGAACATCCACGAAACCAGTTTTGGACGCGTAGGCTTGTAAAGGTGTACATGCGTTTAAACCAATGCAACTCAAGTCTGGTTAATCGCCAAAATTGGAGTTTTCGGACATCAATAAAGAAGAAAACTGTTGGAAACCATTGCATGAAGACTTGAAACTTATTGAAAAGTATGCATGGTGTTCCCTCACACCTTCAAAACGAATATGTTCACATCAGCCGATGTGGATCGCCCTAGTGGTAGAGGCAGCCTGATTAACCATGCATCATCTGGTGGATCACGAACACCAGTAGGGAACAATTAGCAAATAACTTGTGTTCGCCCGTTGACTGAAAATTTTATTATAAGCTTTCGCGGCGTATCAGTTATAAAGCCAATCCGACCAGGCTCCACGTAAATTGCGGGAGAGATGGCTTTTTACCACTTTCGATACTTCCTAGGATAAAGCCTCACGAAGTGATCTGAAACAGTTCCGTTTTGTTTCGATTACAGCGTCTGTATGAAAATATCACTCTAAAAAATATGCTATGCGACGGTGAGTCTCATGCACAACAGAATGGCATATCTGAGCAGGGAAAAAGGTAAGACAGTATGTCTTGAACCGAGGAATTCGCTCGACATGATAACCGGGAATAATGCCAGCCCATTAGTTATTGCAGCTTTCAGAGAATTTAGCTGAATTCATGAACTGTCACCATTGTAGTGTAAATAGAAAGCAGGCTGACAGTCTGCACCTTACCTAGGAAGGTTGCTATGCAGTTGTCCCGGACCACATGCCTGTAATCAGGTGCCCCGCAACCTCAAAAGTCGACGTTAATTCACACGTAATTCACGTAATTCACACAAAACTCAATAAAAAGCAAATAGAATCTTTTGCAGAAAATAACACAAACGCTTCCAATACGTGCTTGAATGACTATTCATAATTATCTGCTCATGTAACATACAAATGTGCTTTGTCGAATTTACGGCAATCCGTAGAATGTCAATTTTGGAAACTTGTTTGCCTACTCTAATATCCTGAGATCAAGACTGGTAACTGAAGCAGTGATCCAAACCTTCATGTAAGCCAACACTTAAGTCGCACTTGGCTGATCTCTTTATTCTCTACCTCAAGTTTTTCTCCTGTCGGTGTCATATGCCAAGGAACCAGATGAGCGCATGTTTAGCAAAGTTTGAGGGAGACCTCCTGCTATAGCATAATTTGCCAGTCTATCACCGGACCCCACCCCCCGCAATCACAATCTTCAACAGCCTCACTATTTTTCAGTATCCCAAGAAGTCTATTTCTACCTGGCTGAACAGTGTGCTTTTCGCGAAATACAATGATGTTGACGAGAGATTCAGATACGTATCTTTGAATGACTGTGCTTCCAAAAGGCCTCCTTATTTTCAACTGGCATGATATTTAGGACTTTACAGTATATTTTCTTGAGATAAGACAGTGCTCTCAAGGATTCTGAAAGCTCTCCGACAGTCCACGAAAGGTTTTGCTTTCCGTGGGTCTCATCCGGTAGTTTGCCAACGAGTTCTCACCGAAAACCTTATGCTCTATTTGAACACCAAACTGTAATTCATTGACAGAAGAAAGGAAAATCTACACCCTTGGTTTTAAGAGACGTGACGTCCCATCATCCCACAAGGTTTTCAATGCAATTGAAGTAAAAGCTTCGCAAACGCAGGGCTACCAAGCGTTGCGATACGCTCTTTTGCTTGGAACAACCTAATCAATTCAAGTCAGCCGGCACTTCATTGTGGGTTTGAAAAACCTACTCATCTGTGATAGTATGCCTGTCGGACTTATTCTCCAGTGCTAATAATGTACACCACAGCCAACCGTTTTACTGTCAAAACTTCCTACTATTCCGTGGTCAGACATTGGCCATATTAAACAAAAAGCTATATTCTACATGGAGATTTGCTCCAATAAGTGAAGCCAACCTATGCTTATAATCTGAGAAGCATCCCACAGACGTTTTCATCCTTATTGGGACAACTTGGTCTATTCAGGTGGGAGGTATCTGATAGGGGGACCAGCTAGGGGTTCATTTGAGAGAGGGGGCCCGTCGGTTTTCTAAAGATATCAGGTGCCTTACACACTAAGTTAAGCAGTTAGATCAACATATTATACAAAAATGAACCTCTCAACTAACTGTCTTCGAAACGCCTTTAACTAGAATAGGTAAACATAGTAAAGTGCACTACTACGACTGCATTAACTCTGACGATATTCAACTCGTAGACAAATTTCTGAATAGGGCAGTCCTTCCTTGTATCGAGCAACCTGAAATGTGTTTCCTCAGGCGTGGGGTTTTCGGGAGCTATACATGAGACCATGTATTTCAGGGAAAAGCGAATTGTGTAGTTTGAGTTACCAAGTCAAACAGTAAGGCGTGTGGATCAGCTTACTAAATCAAAATTTTCGCAATATTTGGACTTAGTAGTCCGTTGTACCAACCAAATAAAATCAAATGAATACCAATTCCACCAACCTGAGTAAAAGCCAACCGACCCTTGTAAGAGTGGGAGTAATTACATCCGCAATTCAAAGTGTGGTTGATATGCACAAATGGTTTTCAATCGATTGTTTATATAGGCTGCCAATGTTAAACGAGTAGACGGACAAGTTTGGTCCACGGGTGATTCGTAATCGGATATGGCATCACTACTATTGCATAAGCCGATTAGTCATTTCAGTGTAAACGATCAGCGTAAGCAAACACGACCAGGCACAAGCGGACGAACTCAAAGCCGAGAAAAATTAGGTTAAAAAACAACATTTGATGACGGTCTCAAGAGAAAAGGTGATGAAACGTGTCCTAACCAAAGGGAACACGAAGATAGTTGTTCGAAAATATGTTGAATTTAACTGAGCGAGCACACATTCACAGAAATACTGCACCGATCAGTCATAAATTGTGTACAATTTTCGCAAGGTGCAGAAGTTTTGCTCATCGATGAATAAGGTAGGTTGAATGAGAAACGTCTAATTCATCACTAGAGAGGACTGGCAAGTTGAGTAGTTATTCTTCAAGGGTAAACACGGCCTTTAAATCGAAAGCATCAAATTATTTACAATTCCATTACTCCTAAACGCAAAAATGTACGTTCTCCGTGCGTTTTAAGAGGCTTAATTAAAGGGTATTTAGTCAGGCCAAATGGTAAACTCAAAAAAAAACGAACATGGAAAATTTGAACCTCACTTGAAGAACAAATCCAGAGGTTAGGCAGTACAGTCCCGTTAAATGATGCACCACCAAACGACAGGCTGAGTGCACTGCACTCAAGTCAAGCGTTTGAGTATGGATTACAAATGTCTGTTACAGTTATCCAACAAAAGTGCTAGGCTTGAGATAGACAGGAAAGTCCGTGGTTCGAACTCAACCCTGGCATCCAGACCTATCCTGCCTAGGATTGAACGACTAGCCGCTATCTCAGCCGTTGTGCTTCCTTCAGGTTGTGGCAATGCACTGAAAGAATACTATAGCTGAGCGATTGTTTTTAAAATGTTTTTTTCGCACCAGAGTGTTAGCAGCGCTTATCACGTTCAGATACTTTAAGATATGAATGCAACGCTCCTGGTGCGGTCTATATAATGTGAACACTCGCACTAACAAGGATGAGAACTACAGATTACACGAACTAAAATTCGACAGGTCAACAAAGAAGTTCTTTCATGTACAGTTTAGGACCTTAAAAGAGCTCACCAAATAATGAAGTAACTGGATGACGTTTTCGTTGCAGATTTATTGGATTTATTGTTTACCAAACCCCTCTGAAACGATGACTTCCCAATCAGTTCCAAACATTTTCCAATTGATTGGATGACGTTATATTTGGAATGTACGACAGGGAAGTGCGCACGGATGTGAACGTCGACTTCCTTCTATTAATACATAATTAGATCGTGGAACCTTGTGAATAACGTATACAATAATCCACCCTCGAGGTAGTCTTTCTGTGGAGAAAACGGTTCTACCGGTGCGCATTTTTCCGTTTCAAGTCCATAGGAGAAACAACACTCCAAAGTCGAAACGGAGATACTTCCTGACCTCCAGTGGGCTCGTTTACTTCCGACCGGAATGGACATGATAAATGCTGATGACTCATTCATTAATCAACTGATACGCTAAAGAGAGTTGACGTCATGCGGAGTTGACGTCAATGCGGACACACTATACTAGCCCATCAACGAACTTATTTGATGATCAGGGCAACAAAACAACTTACGATACTTCCATAGAACGACTCAATGGGACTTATCCTGGTTTCAGTGCGGCCTAGCAGATTATGAAAGTGATACTTAGGGTAAAACAACGCACGGTAAGTTTTAGGTGGCTGCGGGATTTGTAAAATTCACATCCACACAACTTTCGTTTAAGTAGTCATCCTCCCGAGATGTAGGCGATTGCGGAATTTGTAGAATTCGTGTTCATATCATTCTCCTTTGAACAGTCATCCTTCTGTCCTCTCGCTAATCCACACAAAAGTGAAGGGGGTGGTGGATTTAGGTTCCACTCTTATTACAGTTCATCAACAGTGCACATCCTTTAGACCTGTCCAGAGGCCAGCCGCCTCAAATAACCAAGCAGCACGTCAATTGGACGGACGTATCACGTGCGGGCTACGGAACAAACGAAAGCATAGCCTGATTGGTCAGAATGTCAGCCAATCTGGGTCGAGTGTTGTTAGCTCGACGCTTCTCAGCTCCTCAAGGAGCTTCAAACACGACCTTGTGGAACCTATATAACCCTATACATACGGTTGTAATAATCTTCCTGTCTCCATAGAGGGCTGTCTGAAGTTATCGTGCCTATTGA